TAAAGAAATCTAACTAATAAACTAATATAATAATGTTAATAAAAATATATATAAAAATTAAGAAATAAGGTTAACAACGTATAGATGACCTTAGATAAATTTGTTATCAAGATATCGGATTCAAACAAAATATTAAAAGAATTTATACCAAGATCATGAAAACTCATTATGATGTGCCTCAACAAAATTGTAGGACAGACGGAGATGACTGGACCTCAAGTATCGGCATATCTTTTAGGTTTTAAAGACCATTACACATCGAACAAATTTGTTACAATATATCTCAATTCTTTTGAAACGTACTTGACTTCACGATATCCTATCAAAAACCTACTCGGATCAATACATTCAGATGATTTGAATACTAACAGTAGTGAAAACGAATCGAACCAAGAAGATAATGATGAATGTGATCTAACTAATAACGAGATATTTACAATAACAAATTCGAGTAAACGAATAAATGCAGTAAATTTACGAATTGACTATATGTACCATGGAAAATAACTGAAAAACATGTGTCTTTACAATTATGTTTCAATGATTCACAAAATAAAGATTAACGAAAAAGAATTAGACAAACTCAGTAAACAAAAAAATTGTGAAGGACACGCAACTAAAGTTGATCAATTTTTATTTTTAGTTGGAGAAGAAAAATGTAATGAAACTTGTAACCACGATACAATACATCCGCAACATTCGACGCATATACAAATTTATTGATACTGTGAAAACGAAAGAATACCCGTGCTACATGAAAAAGGTGTACCGTCTAAAAACAATTTAAAAAATATGGAACGTTACGGGCTCTATATCCTTTTACTGTTCAAACCGTAGACCACTGCTAGTGACTTAATGATCGGATATGACTCATGGCATGAAGCATGTAATGTCTTTTTACAAAACTCAAATCTACCAGCACGACTTCAATTTGTTATTAACGATATTGAACTTTTACACCGATGTACAGAAGAAACAATGTTAGATCGTTGTTTACGTCAAATTGTACACAAAAATCTGGAAATTGCAAAAATTCGAAGAATAGAAAGATCTGTAATAGGTTATGATAATACTGGTGATGCAGAAATACTTTTAGACCAGGATGACTTTAATATTGATAACTTAGTTTCGTTGGACCCATACGAAATTATGCATTCCAGATTACATAATACGAAATTTGTTGACAATGCCATGCTCCATTTGTACATAAAAGACAAATTTAATAACAAAAAAAAATCCAATCAAACTTTCAAGAAGAAACTAGAATTCCAAATGATAATGAACAAAATAACCAAGTACAACCTTTTTGTGAAAATGATGATCACCTAATTAAAATATAGCAAAAAATTATAACATCAAGAAAAAGAATAGAACAAACAAATAACAATATGGATTCTGAAGAAAACCGTATCTCGCAACCCGTATCCTATCAAAAAAGATCAACTATTTTACAATTAACATTTCAAAAAATTTCAGCTGACCTCAACGACAAACAAAAAAAAGCCTTTTCACTCGTCTATAACCACTGCAAACAGAACTATACCAGTAACCCTAATAAACCACCCCAATTACTAATGTATTTAGGTGGAGCCGGAGGTACAGGAAAATCAAAAGTTATCAAAGCTATTTGCGAATATTTCAACCAGATTGGTCAAAAACAAACTCTCGTCCTTTGTGCACTAACTGGTGTCGCTGCATCAAACATTGGTGAATATACTCTTCACTCTTTGTGTAGTTTCAAATTTGATAATGATAGTGATAGTTACAACTATAATTTTTCCCAGGAATCACTAAAAAAAACACTTCAAGAACATTGGGCAAACATAGAATATCTCATCCTAGACGAAGTTTCCATGATGGGACAAAAACTTATAACAAAATTGCACGCATATATTAAAGAAACAAAACATTTTCAAAATGATACCATACCTTTCGCTGACTTAAACATCATCTTTGCTGGAGATTTTCTGCAACTCCCACCTGTACTGATCGTCTGTTATATCAACCTAACAATATTGACAAAACTATATATTCGCATGAAGAATATATGCAAACTGAAGATCTTATTAACACTCGAACATTAATTGATATTAATGGTAGAGAACTTTAGAAATCAGTAAAACACGTAGTTATATTAAAAAAACAAATGCGCCAAATTGATGATCCAACATACGCTACTATATTAAACAACTTACGCCACGGCCGTTTAATACTGATCCAATATGAAACCCTTTGCAGCCGTTGTCACTGGTGGTCCTTGGTTTTCTCAAGAACCACCTGATGAGTAACTTAACAGTTCTTTTAAGGAGTTTATAGTCCTTTCCCGAAGGTAAGACTGTTGTTTCATTATTTTAGAAGGCACCA